TAACTAGGCTTAAATTATCACATTTTAGCGGAAGCGCTAAATCGGTAAGGGTCAGTGCCTAGGGAATGGGAGGTAATTAGGTTCGATCCAGGGAAGAGGAGGACAAGTCCATTTCCTTGGATCGAGAGCACATCACCAATATCAAGGAACTTCCCTTGATAATAAGGCTTAAAAGCCTATCAACTGCTCGATGGTCATTTAGACTGCATGTCACCTGTTTACCACCAATCAAACTACTGTAATACCTAAAATAAAGATTTAACTCAGTGTATATACACAGATAAATACACCTCACAGTATATATACTGTGCACAGGAAGTGGAAGGCAGCTAAATACCTTAGATAAAGTCTCACAAGCATGAAGACAAACATCTGGGAACAACACACAATATCACTTACCATTTCATATCACCGTATTTCCCTTCCTCTGCTCAGCTTGTTCACAGTTTTCTTGTCACGTTGAAGCTGAACAAATCACCCTGTACTCTCAAACACAAGCATCATACCACCTACACATGATAAAAGCTGTGTGCTGGAGCTGACCAGTAACACCACTACTCAACTCACTCAACTGTGCGGAATCATTTGACTTTATTTATCCCATTATTTAAGTTTTAGTAAATAAAATTAGTAGGAATAGTTGAGGAAAATTCTTATCTAATATCTGTAGTTAATGACTTAGAAAAATGGTTATAATTATGACTATTTTTTAAAGCGGTCAGCAAGGAGCCCAATGGAAATAAGTCCGTCAGATTTTTTTTGGGGTTATCCCAGGTTCTCTACACATATGTTGCTATATATGATAATCTGTGTTACTGTATTTGTGTATACCTGAATAAACTTACTTAAGAATGGCCTCGGTTAGGTGAGCAAATTATTATTATAATGGGAAGCGCTAAACCCGTAGGATTATACAGCGCATGTGGGGGGATGGGAGGCATTAGGCTCAATTTAGGGAGCTGGAGCACAGATCCAATTCCCTAGATCAAGAGCCCCTCACCAGCATCAAGGAACCTCCCTTGTGGGGTAGGTGAGCCAAGCTCCAGCTGTGGGTCATCATATAACCAAGACCCGCGTCAGGAAACACTTGTCCTGTTTCCTGACAAACCTTACCTGACCTAACGAGTCTCAATTATTATAATCATGACTGAGCGCTAAAACCACAAGGGTTACGCAGACGAGTCTATCATGGTGAATACTTCAACTATATTATAATCAAAGGGGAAGCGCTAAACCCGTACGATTATACAGCGCCTGTAGGGGGGGGATGTGGAAGGTATTCAGGCTTAATTCAGGGGACTGGATTATTATTATAATCAAAAAGAAGCGCTAAGCCACAAGGGCTTCCTAATAAATACAGCCCCCTCAGGGGAACCTCCGGACCCCCTAAACAGAATCCAAAAATTCCCTAAGATCAAAAGAAAGCCCTTTAAAAAACAACACCAACCATGGATTATTTTTTTTTAATCAAGGGGAAAAGTAAAAAAGCGCTAAAACCCCGGTCGGTGGATTATTAAACAGCCCCCCTGGGGGGGGTTGGATTGTTTGGAAGGCATTCGGGTTTTAATTCGGGGGGAACCGGGGAAGCACTGATTAATTCCCTAAAATCCAAGAAGCCCCTTTCACCAACATCACAGGAAAACTTCCTTTAAAAAAAGGGGGGAACCTTAACCAAAATAAACGGAAAACTTTCCAACACAAAGGGGGAACAAAAACATTCGTCTAAACCCAAAGTTTTTTTTTTTATTTTTAAGGCGAACAGGGTTGTGGGGCTACGGGGTAAATTAAAACTTCTAGGCACAGGAAAAGAAAAAGCCACTGTTATTTATGCAATGCATTTCGGGCAATTTTGTGGAAATTATATTCATGAGGGGAAAACGCTAAAACCCCTAGGGGGGCCCCACATCGCCTGGGGTATATGGGAAGGTAAAGTGTATATTCTTCATAGCGTTTTTTTTTTATCAAGTATGCCAGTCATAACTACCGTATAACTTGCATACTTAACTTACAGTAATAGAAACTATTATACCGTGTAACTATGGCTTTTTGAAATAGTATATAATATATATATATATATATATATTATATAAAAGAAAAACCCAAAAAGAAAGAAAAAACTTTCATCATTCAACACTTTCATGATCATTCATACATAATCACTGTCTTTGCAGAAGCACTCAGATATGACAGTTTAGATGTCCCTCCAAACAGCCAATATTCCAAACCCCTCCTTTAAAGTGCAGGGATAGTACTTCCTACCTCCAGAACTCACGTCCGGCTAACCGGTTTCCTTGAATCCCTTCACAAAATATTACCCTGCTCACACTCCAACAGCTCATCAGGTCCCAAAACCATTTGTCTCCATTCACTCCTAACACATTCACACATGCCTGCTGCATATCCAAGTTCCTTGCACACAAAGCCTCTTTTATTCCCCTCCTGCATCCTTTCCTAGGACAATCCCTACCCCTTCTTCTCTTCAATACAGATTTATACACCCTCCAAGTCATCCTATTTTTCTCCATCCTCTCTAAATAAATGATCAAACTACCTCAACAACCCCTCTTCATCCCTCTGAATAATACTTTTAGAAACTCAATACTCCTAATTTCCACACCAAGAAGTTTCTACATAATATTTACACCACACATTGCCCTTAGACATGACGTCTCCACTGCCTCCAGCCTCTTTCTTGCTGCAGCATTTACAACTCATGCTTCATACCCACATAAGAGCGTTGGTACCACTATACTCTCGTACATTCCCTTCTTTGCCTCCATGGATAAAGTTCTTTGTCTCCATAGATGCCTTAATACACTCACCTTTTCTTTTTACCCCTCAAGGAAGGTTCCTTGATGTTGGTGAGGGGCTCTTGATCTAGGGAACTGGATGTGCTCCAGTTCCCTGAATTAAGCCTGAATACCTTCCATCCCCCCAAAGGTGCTGTATAATCCTACGGGTTTAGCGCTTCCCCCTTGATTATAATAATAACAACAATAATCACCTTTTTACCTTCATTAATTCTATGGTTAACCTCGTCCTTCATAAACCCATCCGCTGACAAGTCTACTCCCAACTATCTGAACACATTCACTACTTCCATACTCCCTCCCTCCAATGTGATACCCAATTTTTCTTTACCTAACTCATTTGGGTGCATAATAAAGATATTAAACTAAACTGAAAGACTGATCATCTGAAACTTACTTCACATCCAGGCCGAGGGACAGATCACCTCATAACTACATCTCAACTTCTGTTGTCCCCTCTGTATTTCAGCTGAAGAAGCCTGCTGAGCAGCTAAGACTTCTCTTAAATAAAGACAATATAAGATTTCACTGAATTTTTATCCCAGAGGGTTTGCCACCCAGGATAACCCAATAAAGTCTGTGTGTCATTGGGGGGATTGCTTCATTTCCAATGAGGTCCTTAAAACTTCTCTCCTAGGAAGCGACCCATAACAATAAACACCTAGGTACAGGTGGGCCCCGCTTTACAGCGTTTTGCTAATGCAACAGTTTTCAATTATACCCATTCTTCATATACATGTACTGTATTCAAAGACTTCCTATAATAAGCATTTTTGCCACTCACTATAAGCTAGGGTCAAAAACATTTTAAAGTATGTAATGTGTGTACTGTATATGCAGTTTTTAGGCCTAACTCTATTGCTCACTTAATATATGATAGTATAAACATGTTATCAGGCTTTTATATGCATTTGAAAGTGAAGAGAGGCTATGTTTCACTTTATGGCAGTAGCCCAGAACCTAACCTGCTGTATAAGTGAGGCATGCCAGCACTAACTTTTTGCTAGGTGATCAGGGAAAGCAGGTTGAAGGACACATGCTCAATGTTTCACCAGTGACAGGGGCAAACCCCAATCCCTCAGTGAGGTGAAGAAGCTACCAACTGAACCACAAGTGCTGTTGAGGAGTCAGACACATCTTCCACTATCTTCTGTGAACAGTTCTGCAAGGCTAAACGACTCATTACTTCATCTAACCTTTGTATTGAATTGGTTATTATTATAATCAAAACTAAGTGCTAAATATTGAATTGATAAAGCCACTGGTTGGCAAAAAAGTTTTCAAAGAAAGAAACTCAAGTGTTGCATGTGTGTCTTAATTCCTCATCTTGTCAGCATTACCAATATTTTAATGATACCAAACTGTTGCAAGACAGTGATGGAGCGAGTGATGACGAAAGTGTTTCTTCTTTTTCAGGTCACCCTGTCTTGGTGGGAAATGACCAGTGTTAAAAAAAAAAAAACCTGTTGCACAGCTTGGTATCGTCTACTTGTCAGCACTGTATACAATTTTTATCTATTATATTCAATAGATGGTGCTAAACCCAGGAGTCAAACAGCAGCTGGTAAATGAGATGTGATCAACAGCATCCAGTCTCCCTGGAAGGTCACTAATGAATACCAAAATTATTACATCCTGTCTCTGATGCTTAGAATTTTCACCTGTATGGCTGGCATTTACACCTGTACAACTGGAGTTTACATCTGTACGACTGGAGTTTACACCTGTATGGCTGGAGTTTCCACCTATATGGCTGGAGTTTACACCTGTATGGCTGGAGTTTCCACCTGTACATCTGGAGTTTTCACTTGTATGATTGGATCAGTAAAACTTAACAACGTTCGTCTGAAAACTCTTCTTGCATTTGTGCACTGTAAACAATTCAGTAAAATTAAACAAATCAATATTAAAGCAAACTTTGTTAACAATAAATCAGGATGTAGAGGCATAATGCCAACAGAAATGGGTATAAACATAATATGCAGACAGTTTAATTGGAATTACATTTCATTCACAGTTGAGCTTTATGAAGTTATGATTTGACAAAGCTCTAACTTGTGCAAAAGATTGTTCTGCATATTGTTTTTTTATACCCAAACAATGAATCAGTTATTGAGAGACCTGCTCCCAGTATACTGTACTTACAAACTAATGTCCCACCAACTACAATACTAATATTTGGTATTTTTGACTAAAATAAGTGTTTTTTAATAGACGTGTACGGTTGGAATGTGAGCAGGGTAATTTTTACAGAGGGATTCAGGAAACTAGTCAGCTTGACTCAAGTCCTGCAGGTGGCAAGGGCATTGCCTGCACTCTGAAGAAGGGATGGCGATGTTGCAGCCAGAGGGTAATCTAATTGTGATTTTTTTTATTATTAACACATCCCAAGGCAGGGTGGCCCAAAAAAGAAAAACTTTCATCATCATTCACTCCATCACTGTCTTGCCAGAGGGGTGCTTTACATTAGTTATAAAACTGCAACATTAACACCCTTCCTTCAGAGTGCAGACACTGTACTTCCCATCTCCAGGACTCAAGTTCGGCAAGACAGTGAGTGTTGGTGAATGTTTTCTTCTTTGGGTTACCCTGCTTTGATGGGAGACATTTGGTGACGCAGCAGGTCCAGCACTGGACATGCTACCTGTCAGGCCCATGGTTTGAGTCCCTATCTGTTCTGTTTATTTATTGAGTCATTTACTGTGACTCCCTCTCTATATATACATATATATATATATATACAATATATTTATTTTGCATTTATTGGTTCTGACCCAAAGAAAACATGGTCACCATCACTCATACCCTATGCTGCCTTTCCAGAAGAGCATAGGCATCACATTCTAATGCTGTCCAATCAAAGTATAACATCCCCACCCAATTTTCAAAATGCTGCCACCCTTATAATATCAAAGATTGATAACATGTTATTATAGAAATATTTTTTTAAAGGTTAACAAAATTAATTTTGTACAATGAATGTGGCATTTTACATTTGACAGATTTGTTATTCACACTTCATAGACATCATCTTTGCCAACGATCACGACTTTGTCAAAATGAAGTTCTTGGTTATCATGACTAATGGCATCCATAGCACTTAGTTCCTCTTCTTTCTGTGTGATGGCTGCCCTGAAGCTGTCCACACTATCATATGGATTCAGCTCAGACTCTCTGTCTAGCCCTTCAGGTTTACGGATAAAGGTTAATGTTTTATTTATAGGAGACTCATTTGGTTTCTGTTCTCTTAATGGCTTTTTCTTGTGACGTGGAGGTTTGAAAGATTCTTCAGAGTGGTCGAGGGAATAGAAAGAGTCCTTTGCGAGATTCTCAGTATTTTCTGGATAGGTGAGATTATTTTTATTTTTGGTCTGGTTAATTTGTTTAGGGCTGTTACCATTAGTATTTTGCTTTTGGATGCTATAGTTGTGAAGAGGTGGGTGCAGAGTAACAACCTGGTGGCGACGGTGAAAAAAGTATGGCTTTTGAGGGCCGCACGGCATGTATGGCTGGGGGCCAGGACGAAATTCTCGCTCAACAGGGTAAGGAGAAACTACTGTATGCCTCCCACATGGTCTAACTGATGGTGGAGGGTGGTGATGGTAGGGAAAAGAACTGGGTTTATAGTGGTAAAACTGGTAGTCAGGGTCGTCTACCTCAAAGCTATGGTTGTCTTGTAATGAGGAAAGTTGTAACTCCATAGGCACATAGCTGGAGAAAGTGCTGGGACTGAGGTCACTGTTAACACTGTGGCTAAGATGGCTGTCATAGATGGGCGTATGTGAAGGGCCTCCAGGGTGGATGTGTGGCTGCGAATAACCAAGCTGGGCTGATGAATAAGATGGTTCTCTGTGGTAAACGGAGAGATCTGAAAATTCATCTTGATGAACAGATGGATATGGTAGGTTCCCATGATGGAAAGATGGGACACCACCATGTAGGGATCCATACAGTGGCCCCTTGTGATGGAGGGATGGATAATGTGGGCCATCATGGAAAATTGGAGGCCCAGAGTATGCAGGCAGTTCATGTTGGTAGGTGTCTGAATGGGTGTAGGGGCCAAGGAAGGCAGGTGGAGGGTACTGGCCAGGTGGGAGCCCCTGGGCTATCACATTAGAGTCTATGCCCAAACCAACCACGGGCAGCAGACCTCCTGGACGGCCAGACAAGTTGAAGCGCAACCCAAACTGCAAGAAAAAGAAACTTGTCAAAACTATTATACCAGAATGATTGCATCCATTAAAGCATATCCTCTGAATGAATACCAATCCTCTAACACTCCATCTTCTGCTTTATTATTATGAAATCCTAGCCAGATAATTCTTCATTACCAAGACACCTGGATCACCAAAAAGTTAGAGATTTAGAGAACTGCAGCAGGCCTACTGGCCTATGCCCTCCCAGCCTCTCTACCCATTGCATCACAACTATATTAGTCCTGCCTTTTTGCACCTCATTATTACTATTATAACTCCACCTATGGTTCTCTCTGTGGGTCTGGAGAAGCCAATCATATTGAAATACTATGTAAAATTAAATTTAGAGATCAATTATTGAAAAAGTTTAAGGTAAATAGGCAAGATGCTGCAACACTCCACGAATTCTGCAAGGTAAAATTACAGAGCACTGTAAACAGGGCAGAGGCAGGGCACTATAGTTTTAAAACTGAAGAATTCAAAACTTTCCAAAAAACTGAATGCCTCCCAACCCTCTAGGTTTTGTGTGACCCCTACAAGTCTAGTGCTTCCCCATGAATTTAATAATGTCTGGCAACAGCTAAGAGCCCTAAGGTATAGCAACAAACAAGTAAATCACACTATCACTGTGCTAAGTAGTTATAACCAGGCATATATGCCATGAAGCATCCACAGTGGCAAATTATTTCAATTCAAATTACACAGCTACTGCAGCATCAGTTGAACCAGGCAAAAGAAAAAGACCTGCCAACATTCCAGCCAAAATCTTAAACTACATAATCTCTGAAATGAAAGCACAGAGCCAACATAATCAATTTATTCAACTCTAAGTCCAAAATGCACAGCATGTATGTGGCTTTCTTTGTGCTTAACAATATTTTATTACATGTAAACTACATTTTGTAATACATACTGCAGTAAGAAATAAAGTTTGTTTGTTGGTAAACAGTACTTTGTTATATCCAAGAGAGAGCAGTGTATTAGCAACCAGCTAAAAATATGAATACCAATAACATTATAATGTTACCTGTAAGGTTTCATGAATCTTCATTCAACAGACAATTCCTGAATTATCCAGATGGATTATATACAAACCCAAATAACAAAAGGAAATTTCCCAGGCATGGTTACCTTAGACCTACAAAAGACTTGACACCGTAAACCATTATATACTTATTATGGAAAAAAGTGCAAGGTATCAGCATAGTCTCTGTATTATTATAATTAAAGAGAAAGAGCTTAACACATAGAAGTCATACAATGCATAAGACTAATCAGGTTTGAGCCAAGGAAAGGAAGGATAGATCCACATCCTCCTATCAAGAGCCCCTCAGCAGCATCATGGCACCTCTCTTGAGGGGACAGGTTATGTAGACAGGTTTAAATACAGTAAAATCTCTGTATCCACAGATTCAATTTCCAAGGTTATCAATGGTTTACCATGACCTGAAAATAACCCTTAATTCTGTTTAGTAATGACACAAAAGCATGACAGTAGTGTTGGCGACAGTTCTTCAAAGTCTAAGGAAAGCCATGAAGTGCTTCCCATCAATGAAAAACTATTAATTCTCGACTTATTGTATGTAATTTATCAATTAAACTTCATCATTGGTATGTATGTACAGTATATGTAAAATGACTCATATGTAGGGTTTGCTACTATCCACAGTTTCAGACATCCATGGTAGGTCTTGGAATGTATTCCCTGCAGATAAAGGGGGATTACTGTATTACCTAAATAACAGGAAACAAATTGTTAAGTTAATCCGTTCCACAGAGCTAGCCTTTAACCGATTAAGCCTTTAGCCAAATTAATTTTCCCCATAAGAAATAATGGAAATCCAATTACTCCATTCCAGACACCCAAAAGTATTATACAAAATATTTTTTTTACATGAAATATACATTTCCCTACACAGAAAACAATGAGACATGCACAATAAACAATACTGAAATGACACTTACCTTTATTGTGGACTTAGTGATGAGACAGGAGGAGGGGAGAGGATGTAGGTGTACTATTGTTTGGAAGGGATATCCCCTTCCATAAAGACTTCAGGTAACAAGTCCTTTTCTGGGGTTACTTCCCTTCTTTATTTTTTAATGCCACTATGACCAGCTTGAGAGTCACTGGACCCCTGTCGCACAAAATATCTGTCCAGAGAGCTCTGTTTCTTGCATCCCTTTAAGATTTCCCTAAAATGGGACACAAGAGTGTCATTGTACACTTCTTGGGGTTTTAATTTTTCAGTGTCTATGTACTCCTTAAAGTCCTGCACATATTATTCAGCCACTTTTTTGCCAGAACTGGCAGCCTCACCATGCCTTATCACACTGTGTATGCCACTACAATTCTTAAATCTCTCAAACCAGCCTCTGCTGGCCTTAAATTCATCAACATCAGCACTAGTTGGAGGTATTTTCTTAATGAGATCCACATACAACTGCCATGCCTTTTCACATATTATTGACTGAGAAACACTATCTCCTGATAATTGTTTCTCATTTATCCATACCAACAACAGTCTCTCCACATCTTCGAGTATTTGTGACCTCTGTTTTGTAAGCATACTTGCACCTTTCACAACAACAGCTTCCTTGAGTGCCTTTTTGTTGGCCAAGATAGTAGTGATGGTTGAATGGGTATATTATATAACCTTTCCAACTCTGAGATGCGCACTCCACTCGCATACTTTGCAATTATCTCTTTCTTTAATTCAATAGTATTTCTCACCCTTTTTACCACAGTGTTGGCACTAGAAGCTTGATGGCTTATTTAGCAGTTACAAACACTACAAACAATGGAATAATACAAAATATATCACATGTATGCGTGGAATCGTCCTCACTGGGTTTGTAAACAATGGCACACTGGCTGTACAGAGTCATGGAGTGGCTGGGCCTGCTCAGGCAAAGCGGACATGTTCGAGACGAAAGCCCCTAACCGAGTTGTTTGGCATTAGCCGAGCCAATATTTTCATACCAAACCGAGCCGTTATCTGATTTTGGCGCTAACTGATGAAACCTTTACCCGAGGGTCCACTGTAATTTAGAATGAAAATCCTCACTAAGAACATGTTGTGTTCCACAAGGAAATATCTTAGAGCCCTCTACTCTACTTGTACTATGTCAGTAACATACCTGACCAGCCGGGCTGTGGCTCGTACATTGGATTGTGTGCAGCCAGCAGTAACAGCCTGGTTGATCAGGCTCTGATCCACCAGGACTGGTCACGGACCAGGCCGTGGGGGCGTTGAACCCCGGAACTCTCTCCAGGTAAACTCCAGGTAATTAATGTTAAATGCAAACTTCAAGGGTATGGAGATGATAGTGCTGTTTTCGTGTCAAGAAAAGGCCCAAAGGATACATTTCGGGTATTATCAATGGAATTGGAGTCATGCAGATGATGGTTAACAGATAAACTGTCACTGCACCTGGACAAAATAGAAGTTATATTATTTGACTTAAAATGTAAGTTAAAGAAAGTCAAAAAATTGTAAGTACCGTCTAATGAGGAATCTATCTCAACAGTAACTACTGTGAAATACTTCAGATGATCCTCTGATCCCAGCATTTCAGAAGAACTAACATTTCACAACATAATAAAAAATGAATGCCAAATTAAACTTCCTTTAAAGATAGATGGTACATGACATATGATCCTTTTGAGTATAGACTTACCCTGTGGTCATGATGAAGATTGAGGAACTGCCCGGTAGTTCTGACAAGTAAGAACCTTCCCTGTGGTCATGGTGAAGTGAGAAACAATCCAGTAGTCTTGGTAAGGACCTACCCTCTGGTCATGGTGAAGACAGAGGAACTGCCTAGTGGTCCTGGCAGACAAAGATCTACCCTATGGTCATGGTGAAGAGTAAGGAACTACCTATTGGTCCTGGTGAGGAGTAAGGACCTACCCTGTGGTGTGTGACGTGGTCCTCATGAGGGACGGTGAGCTGGAGACCGCTGGCGAAGGTGCGGGTCTGGTATGAGGAATGCTGACCCCCTGAGCTAGTCACTGCCTGCAGCATCCACCCACAAGGGGTTAGTAGCTAGTTACCACACACACACACCTCATACAGTGCCATATTAGCATTGAATTAGATTTTATTATATTAAAATAAGATAGCTTTTATACATCCTAATGCTAGGTTGGTTATCATGAACAATTAGGTTAGGTTATGTCAGTACTTGGAAAGGATTAGGTTAGTTTATATAGGATTAGATTTATGCAGGATTAGGTTAGCTTATGTAGGATAAGGTTAGGCTATAAATTAGGAATAATTTAACAGTTAGGTTATAGTGCTTATATTTCCACAGTTAGGCTAATTTATTGATAATTATGTTAAATCATATTTAGTTTTAACTAAATATATGAGAGTTGTTCCTGACCTTGCAGATATTTTAGGAGTGGCAACAAATTTAAAGAGGGTTGATTTTTTTTCAGTAAGCCAATGGGTCATATTTACAAATCTAAAGATTTTTTTTATAAGCAGCATAAATATTACACTTTGATGAATAACTTAGGAGGGCCACTGTAAGTTTAAGCTTAACATTGTCATTTTGTGAAGGATATTTAGCCAGTTGTATTTGTTTAAGCAAAATAGAATGACACTGAGTCGTAACAAAATACGTAATGGAAGAATTCTTCAAAAATACTGTACTTGAAGGAGAGCAAGTGACGTCAGATATGTCAATGTTAAAAAATATTATTATTATTATTATTATTATTACAGTATTATTATTGCAGTACAGTACTACATTACAGTACAGAAATATCATTAGGTAGACACGCTCTCTTACTAGGTGAGTGTGGATTGTAATGGGATTTCATTTCGTGGTACAAATTTTCTGATTAAGAGGCAGTTGGATTTACCAATTCATATGCCTCCAACCGGTGGCCTGGTGGCTAAAGCTCCCGCTTCACACACGGAGGGCCCAGGTTCGATTCCCGGTGGGTGGAAACATTTCGACACGTTTCCTTACACCTGTTGTCCTGTTCACCTAGCAGCAAATAGGTACCTGGGTGTTAGTCGACTGGTGTGGGTCGCATCCTGGGGGACAAGATTAAGGACCCCAATGGAAATAAGTTAGACAGTCCTCGATGACGCACTGACTTTCTTGGGTTATCCTGGGTGGCTAACCCTCCGGGGTTAAAAATCCGAACGAAATCTTATCTTATCTTATCTTATTATTATTATTATTATTATTATTATTAATTATTATTAGTGGTTTTACCTGGAGTTTACCTGGAGAGAGTTCCGGGGGTCAACGCCCCCGCGACCCGGTCTCTGACCAGGCCTCATGGTGGATCAGAGCCTGATCAACCGGGCTGTTACTGCTGGCTGCACGCAATCCAATGTACAAGCCACAGCCCGGCTGGTCAGGTACCGACTTTAGGTGCTTGTCCAGTGCCTGCTTGAAGACAGCCACAGGGTCTATTATTATTATTATTATTATACTATTATTATTATACTATTCACAAAAATGTTATGGGTCATTTATTTAGCACTGACTAATCAAAGCTTGCCTTTCCAGCAGTGCTTAAAGGAAAGGTTTGGGATATTTGCTGTTTGGACTGACATACGAACTGTCGTATCTGTGCGCCTCTGCAAAGACAGTGATTGTGTGTGAATGATGGTAAAAGCGCTTCTTTCTTTTTTGGGCTACCCTGCCTCGGTGGGAGATGGTCAGCGTGTTAAATAATAATTAAAGGTAGAAAGTTAAAAGTGAACACAGATAAGAGTAAGGTGATGAGGATATCAAATGATTTAGATAAAGAAAAATTGGATAACACATTGGAGGGAGGGAGTATGGAAGAGGTGAATGTTTTTAGATATATGGGAGTTGACCTGTCTGTGGATGGGTTTATGAAGGCTGAGGTTAACCACAGAATTGATGAAGAAAAAAAGGTGAGTGGTGCACTGAGGTATCTGTGGAGGCAAAGAACATTACCCATGGAGGCAAAGAAGGGAATAGATGAAAGTATGGTTGTACCAACACTCTTATATAGGTGTGAAGCATGGGTTGTAAATGCTGCAGCGAGGAGGTGGCTGGAGGCAGTGGAGATGTCGTATCTTAGGGAAATGTGTGGTGTAAATATTATGCAGAGAACTCGTAGTGTGGAAATTAGGAGGAGGTGTGGAGTTACTAAAAGTATTAGTCAGAGGGCTGAAGAGGGGCTGTTGAGGTAGTCTGGTCATTTAGAGAGAATGAAACAAAGTAAAATGACTTGGAGGGTGTATAAATCTGTAGGAGAAGGAAGGTGGGGTAAGGGTCATCCCTGAAAAGGGTGGAGGGAGGGGGTACGGGAGGTTTTGTGGGCAAGGGGCTTGGACTTCCAGCAAGTATGCATGAGTGCATTAGATAGGAGTAAATGGAGACAAATGGTTTTTGGGATCTGACGAGCTGTTGGAGTGTGAACAGGGAAGGGATTCAGGGAAACTGGTTAGCTGGACTTGAGTCCTGGAAATAAGAAGTACAATGCACTTTAAAGGAGGGGTTTGGGATATTGGCAGTTTGGAGGGACATCTAGATTGTTGTATCTGAGTTCTTCTGCAAAGACAGTGATTATGTGTATGAGTGATGGTGAAAGTGTTGAATGATGATGAAAGATTTTTTTTTTTTTTTTTTTTCACTTTGGGTCAACCCTGCCTCTGTGGGAAATGGCCAACGTGTTAAAATAATGATAATAATAATAATAATAATAATAATAATAATAATAATAATAATAATAATAATAATAATAATATGTAAGAACATAGCAGTGAAGGAAGCATTGAAAGATATTTACAAGGATATGGCAGCAAGTGAGATATTTAAGGAAATGGATTTGGTAGTAAGCAAGATATTTCAGCTAGAGGACTTGGTAGTAAGCAAGATATTTCAGCTAGAGGACTTGGTAGTAAGCAAGATATTTCAGCTAGAGAGAACTTGTTAGTAAGCAAGATATTTCAGCTAGAGAGGACTTGGTAGTAAGCAAGATATTTCAGCTAGAGGACTTGGTAGTAAGCAAGATATTTCAGCTAGAGAGAACTTGTTAGTAAGCAAGATATTTCAGCTAGACAGGACTTGGTAGTAAGCAAGATATTTCAGCTAGAGAGGACTTGGTAGTAAGCAAGATATTTCAGCTAGAGGACATACCAGGGTGCAGAGTCTTATCTCACCTGGAGGAGAGCATCCCCGGCATGGCCAGCAGCGACCACACCAGCACCCAGCACCTCCCCTGCCACCTGGCCCACTAGTGACACCTGGCTGGCAGCACCCCCTACCAGCTTCCTTAGCCTTTGCTGCACCTTCTCCCCCACCTCCCGCACCTTCTCCTGTGGCTGCTGCAGCTTCTTAGTCAGCACTTCGACCACACCAGGACGCCGCCTACCTCTTGTACGCCTCCCAGAAGAATGTGTTGCACTCGTCTTACTATCCTTCTGTGACTCAAGAACAGATCCATTGAAAAAATCCTTTGTGAAATTTGAATGTAAAGTGAATTCTGAAGATGAGGATGAAGTTTCAGTGCCCTGAACTTCCACATGACTCCTGCGTGCCCTATGGGTTAGTACCTCACCTGGGGAGAGGGGCGAGATGTGGGAATGACTGCGAGGGGCACGGCGAGCTGGGGCATGTTAGGATGTCCTCTTGCCTGTCGCAATCCTAGCCTGGGTGGTGGTGGAGGGATCACAATGTGAGAACCACCTTGGGAGGATCGTGCCTGCAAGGAAGGAAGAAGCAGGTTATTATATAATCTTATGTGATAGCAATAACATATTTGTGGTTATCTATTTGTCATCATCTATCTGTGATTATCCATTTGTTATTATTTGTAGCTATAGATCAGAGCAATGCTCATGGTATCCCATCCTCTGAATTTAAACATATAATTTTTATATAATTTTTAGTGGTTGTAGCACTAGTACAGTATGGCCAGCATGTTTTGTATATTCATAAAGTGTATGGTTACCTTCCAGTGCACTGAAACAACAAGAAACATTAAAAACACAGGAGCCAAAAGTCAAACCCCACATCCACAACTAGGCACATTCACTCCATAAGATATTTGTATTATCACAAGAGTGTTGTTATTATCATTATTACAGTATGAAATTCATATGGAACACTTCCCATCAGTAAAATAAAATCACAGAGAAGTACTTAACCCATCAGGGTTATACAGTGGCTTTCTTTTGTGCCTAACAACATTTTGTTATGTGTAAACTACATTACTTGTTACGTGGAAGTTTTTCAGATTTTATCCAAAGAAGAAAAGGTAGTAGCTTAAATTCTTTGGATCAAGAGCCCTTCAAGAGCATCAAGGCACCCTCTTGAAGGGACACAGAATCAGAAAGTGATCAATCACAAAAGACAAAAGCAGCTTCTTACCTGTGGTGGCGGAGGAGGTATTAGGTGCAGGGCCTGGTGGGTGGGTCTCCTGCCTGCCCTCACGCCCACATTGCCCTGGGGTGGGCGGCTTCTAACCACTTGGGTACCCTCGATCACCCCAGGGACTGGCGTGCCCAAAACAAATGGGGGCACCTGATGGGGCACTGATGGGGCTGGTGGAATCTGGGAAAATTGTGGGGCTGGTGGAATCTGGGAAAATTGTGGGGCTGGTGGAATCTGGGAAAATTGTGGGGCTGGTGGAATTTGAAGACTTTGGGACCCCTGTGAAATTGGGAGAGTCACGGACACCTGTGGAATTTGATGACTTTGGGACACTTGTGGAACTGGGTGGCTCTGTGATACTTGTGAGGCTGAAGTAACCTGGAATAATTCTGGGACAAGTGTAATATGGGAAACTTGTACAGACTGACTAGCGTGAGGCAAGTTAGGTTCCTGGGACATGTCTGGAGCCGGGATCACCCGAAGAGCTTGTGATTTCTCAAAAGCTTGGGAAACTTGCAGGTCTGGTCGTGCTTGTGAAACTTGGGGTCTTTGTAGAGTTTGAGAATTTTGGCGTCCTGGAAGAGATGGAGGGATCTGGGGTGTTGGCAGAGCACGAAGAGATTGGGGTCCCGGGAGAGGTTGAGGAATCCGAGTTCCTGGCAAGGCATGATTATTCTGGTGCCCTGGTAGAGTTTGAGGAATCTGGTGTCCTGGTAAAACTTGAGAAAACTGGGGTGGTGGCAGAACTTGAGGAATTTGTGGTCCTGGTGCCGTCTGGGAAAGCTGGCGGCCATGTGGAGTTGGGGAAGGGAGGGGTGTTGGGAGGAGAGAAGGGGTGGAAGGAGGGAAGGGAGGAAACTCATCTGAGTAGGGAGGGAACCTCTCCTTCATGATGGTATTACCTACAGAACCATCGTCCTGGAAAAAATAAAGTACGTAGGTGAAAAGTCATTATAGTGATGGTAGGAGGGATGAGTAAAGGGCACATACATCCATGCAGACAAATAGGAACACTCACACAGAAGTGACAGATCTCAATGAATAAAAAGGGTATGGAGGTGAATATAACACCTAGCAATTACACATAAAGCAGAATAAACAAGTTTAGCAGTCCTCAAAATAGTATTCAAGAACTTGAAAAAAAAAAAAAAAAATTCAGAATTTTGTACAGGACATATGTCAGCCAATCACTGAGTATGCAGCGCCTGCATGGAGCCAACTACAAGTCAAGCATGTGAAGAAACTAGAAAGAATCCAAAGGTTTGCAACCAGACTAGTACCAGAACTGAGGGTAATGCACTCTGAGGAGAGGCTGAAGGAAATGAATATGGTGACCTTAGAGAAGAACAAGGGCAGACACGGTTACTACGTACAAAATCTTAAGAGGAATTGACAGGGCTGATAGGAACAGACTATTTATTTGAATTAGGGTAGTTGAAAAGTGGAATGACTTGAATAAGGCAATGGTGGAGAAAAGATTCAATACAATAAAATCAATTTATCTCCCTTGCAAAGCTGGAAACTTTAAAACCAGAACACAATAAAAGTTTGAGTCGAGTCAAAGAAACGACATTATTATTATAACAACTATGTGGAAGTATTAACCCCCATAGGGGTCATACACTCTCTGGATAAGAAAAAAAACTGCCAAGGATAAAGAAAGCTAACCAACAGGATCAGAATAATATAGTGAAGCTTATTAAGTACATGTGTATAAGTGTCATGGGCCTGGGAGTCAATATATGAATTGACTATGGTTCATGCATTTTTGCTGAAGTGATCCAAGAACTGATCCTATGGTTTGTACATTTTTGTTGGATTGATCAATGAGTTAGTCCCAAGCACTGTGCATTCTCACTGGAGTGATCCACAAAATGATCCCCAAGTTCAAAGATCCTTACTCAGTCAATAAATGAATTAACCCCTTAAGTGTGAAGGTGAACAAGTGAAACTGACTTGAGAAGGCAGACACCTGATATGAATTTAAATGCAAGTGTAACAGCCCCATGGAATCAAGTGATTAATGTTTGAGAATTGGAGCCCAGGAGATGATGTCAACCACTAGAAACACTAAAGAAGGGGCAGTACAAGCAAAGATCTGCTCCTGTAGTTAGTCTATAAGTAATCATATACAAGTATACTCACCTCAAGTGACTGTAGAGGAATAAGACTAATATCTGGGTGTGTGGGTGGTGTGTGTTGCTGACGAGGTTCCTGCTGCTGCAGCTGTATTCGAAGCTGTTCCCTCAGCTGCCTCCGAATTTCCTGTTCCCCACGAAGTTGCAGCTGGCCCTGCTGCTGGAGACTCTGGGCTTGTCCCCTGAAACCCTGACGCAATGGAAAGCCAGGAACACGTCCCAAGTGAGGTCGTCTGGCTGACGTTGGAGGTGGATGGTGGAATGGGGGAGCAAAATCCTGTCTCTCCTGCATGACAGGAGGCACATTCTCCAACACTTCCTCCTCATCCTCGGTAGATTGGTTCTCAAAGAAATAGTTCTCTGGTTCAGCTAGGTGGCCCCCAGTATGATCAGGGGCAGCATCAGGCAGTTTGGAGACATCCTCAGCATGATCTGTATCCTGATAGATAGGATATCATGCGAGTTAAAGTAAGAGAGTCAGGGTGAAAGGGATTATCTAGATTTCACCTTTAAAACATCTGCAGTCAGGTAGAATATATAAGAGGTTTTGCAGTGATGATAAGAGATAGGCATATGCTGTGATATAAGGGAATTCATGACTTTTTTATGGTCTGTATACTGGTGGATGAAGTTAGCCTGTGTGCTGGTGTATTAAGTCTGTCAGTCTGTGTGCTGGTGCATGAAGTCTGTCAGTCTGTGCTGGTGCATGAAGTCAGTCTGTGATGCTGGTGCATGAAGTTAGTCGGTCTGTGTGCTGGTGTACTAAGTCAATCAGTCTGTGCGCTGGTGCACTAAAAATTCCTAAGCCACCCTTAATCAGTCACAAGAAATGTGTTCAACATTATGAACAGCAATTTCTTGAAGTTTTCACAATGCCTATGTTTACCAACAAGATTCATCAGTAAGAATTCATCATTCTAAAATTGCTAATAAGGATAACATTACTGATGAAATAATGTTTGTTTAGTCAACTATTGCTACTAGAAATCAAAAGAATTTCTGATTAGAGAAAATTGATACAGGAGGGCCCCGCTTATACAGCAGATTAGGTTCTGGGCTACTACTGCTGTAAAGCAAAAATCGCTGTAAAGTGAAACACAGCTTTTTTTCATTTTCAAAAGCCTGATAACATGTTTACACTATCATATATTAAGTGAGCAATAGAGCTAGGCCTAAAATATGCATATACAATACACACATTACTTACCTTAAAATTTTTTTATAGTTGGCTTATAGTGAGTAGTGAACATATTCATCATACAAAATCTGAATAAATGATGAATGGGTATAACTGAAAACCGCTGCATTAGCAAAATGCTGTAAAGTGAAGCACTGTAAAGCAGGGCCCTCCTGTACATGACCTATTCTTTTAACCTGAGGTAGTGGTAGCTGTTGGTGGGGAGAATCATCAGGATGGGTGCTGGCAGAAGCAGAGGTCAGGATCACCTCCTGCAGGAAAGAAATACCAACATAACATTACTGTAGCAAATAATGGTTGATGTGAACAACAGAGAATCATGTTTTAAAAGATTAATAGGCCACTGTGTGTATATTTTAGAAAATGTGAAAAATGAACTTAAAAAAAAGCTCAATTTTTTTTCCAAATATATTTAAGAAGGACTATCATAAATTTCAACAATAAATCAATACAGAGTATTTACACGTGTCATACTGGACTTATTCATGACTCACGAAATCGTAATGACACGATTGCAAATAAACCACACCATGGCGGGATTGAACCTGCGGTCAGAGAGTCTCAAAACTCTGGAGTTTTGAGACTCTCTGACCGCGGGTTCAATCCCGCCGGGTATGGTCTGGACTTATTCACATGTATACTGAAAAGACTTCAAAGTGGGAATGGAAGAGGCATTTATGCTTATTAAGTGGGATAAAAAAGTTCAAAAAAAAATAGGAAATAATATACAGATTAATTTGCTACTTTTGCATTATGTGTTGGCTGGGCCATTAAAATTTAAATAATTGAGAACCCCAGCTAGGTAGTTTTGGGCAGATGTTTACCCACATAAACCTGGAGTTTACCTGGAGAGTAGTTCGCGGGGTCAACGCCCCCAGGCCCTGGTCTGTGAAAAACAGGCCCACTGGTGGAGTCAGAGCTGATTTAACCCGCTTTGCTGCTGGGAAGCCAAGTACGAGACAGTCCGGGCTGGTCAACCCCATTTAGGTCTTGTCGTACCAGTGAACCTGCCTGGGGATCTTTGGTAATCCCCCTTATGTATGCTGACATGGTCTGCCCTGAAAACTTATTGTATGGTCTCTTAACGTGGTCAGCTGACACCTGCTTTCATTGGGGCTGTTGCAGACTGCCAGGTCTTTTGTCCCCTTCGTGTGATGATCGTGTGCAGTTGGTACTAGTCCCCCTAGCATTTTGTCAGGTGTATTAATCATGTATCTCTCCCGCATGCATTCCAGGGATGTTGCATCATCTACCAAGTCTTCTGCTTTCATAGAGAGTGATTTTCGTGTGCAAGTTTGGTACTAATCCCTCTAGGATTTTCCAAGTGTATATAATCATGTATCTCTCCCACCTGCATTCTAGAGAGTACAGGTTTAGGAACTTCAAGCGTTCCCAGTAACTGAGGTGTTTTATCGCAGTTATGTGTGCCGTGAAGGTTCTCTGTACATTTTCTAGGTCAGCAATTTCACCTGCCTTGAAAGGTGCTGTTAGTGTGCAGCAATATTACAGCCTAGATAGAACAAGCGACCTGAACAGTGTCATCAAGAGCTTGTATATGTCCTAAATTACCATTTTTACTGAATACAGTCAGATATTAGTTTCCATATGATGCATTCTCCAGTCTAGTAGGCTCTATTATTTGCTGGTTTAAATTGAATTTTGTGCAGAGATTTAAAAGCTCGTGTGAGTGTGAGTTTTCATCAGACTGCCTCCTGGTGTTATTACTGCAACAATATTATTTGCTATATTCCTCCATTTTAGGTGCCTTAAGTTGAAATCCCCCAGGAGCAAGATGTTGGGTGCAGGAGCTGGAAGATTTTCCAGACAGTGGTCAATTTTTAACAGCTGTTCCTGGAATTGCTGGGATGTTGCATCCGGAGGCTTGTAGACTACCACAATGACTAGGTTTTGGTTCTCGACCTTTACTGCTAAAACTTCCACTACATCATTTGAGGCATTTAGCAGTTCTGTGCAAACAAGTGACTCTGCAATGTACAGGTCAACCCCCCCCTTTTGCCTGTTCACTCTGTCACATCTGTATAGGTTGTAACCTGGGATCCATATTTCATTGTCTAAGTGATCCTTTATGTGGGTCTCAGTGAAAGCCGCGAACATTGCCTTTGCCTCTGCAAGCAGTCCACGGATGAAAGGTATTTTGTTGTTTGTTGCTGGCTTTAGACCCTGTATATTTGCAAAGAAGAATGTCATCGGACTGGTGGTATTGTTGGTACTGGGGGTTGATTTTTTTTTCCGGCATTAGTATCTGTATCTGTTGGTTTGGACTGGAGGCCATCGACTGTGGTTCCACTCCAGGAATGACTGGATTTGGTGTACGATTTCTGCCATTTCCTGCCAGTTTTTTTTCCTTCCTGGCACTATAAAACCTCTCCCTCTTGAGTGGCTGTGACTACCCAGGTTTTCCCATGGCCTGGATGTTTTGTATCTTTTTGTACCCTTTAGATGGTGTGCCTGGCAATTTAAGTTATAGCACAGTCTTTCCTGTACTGAAGAGGTACACATTTCAGGGTGAAAAAGCTTACAGGAAGGGAGTTTATTTTCTGTTGTCAATGGGATGGCATTTTCTAGGGTCGTCATAGTTTACCTGGAGTTTACTGAAGTGAGTTGGGGACAACGCCCCGGTGCCTGGTCTGAACCAGGCCTCCTGGTGGTTCAGATGCCTGATCAACCTGGCTTTTAGCTGCGCCTGGCACAAACCAACATAGACGCCACAGCCGTTTATCCGGAATGACTTTAGGTGCTTGTCAGTGCCAGCTTGATAGATGCCAGGGGTTGTTTAATTCCCTTATGTTGATCTTGGAGCACAGTTGAACAGCCACTCGGGCCCTGACCCTATGTATGGTCTCTTACGTGCTGTGACACCCCTGCTTTTCCATTGGGGAGATGGCATCGTTCTGCCAAGTCTTTTGCTTTCGTAGTGAGTGATTTCCGCTGTGCAAGTTCGGTACTAGTCCCTCAGTATTTTCCAGGGTATATAATCATGTATCTCTCCTCCTGCGTTCCAGGAATACAGGTTTAGGAACTTCAAGCGCTCCCAATAATTGAGGTGTTTTATCTCCGTTATGCGCGCCGTGAAAGTTCTCTGTACACATTTTCTAGGTCGGCAATTTCACCTGCCTTGAAAGGTGCTGTTAGTTACAGCAATATTCCAGCCTAGATAGAACAAGTGACCTGAAGAGTGTCATCATGGGCTTGGCCTCCCTAGTTTTGAAGGTTCTCATTATCCATCCTGTCATTTTCTAGCAGATGCGATTGATACAATGTTATGGTCCTTGAAGGTGAGATCCTCCGACATGATCACTCCCATGTCTGCAGATATCAAGTGCATAGTATGTGCACAGGCTTGGTTTCCGTTTGCCTTGGGTTTCTGTGACTGTATTCCCTGTTGGTGCATGTTTCCCTGTCTTATTCCTATCCTCCCTAGCACCAACAATGGAGCTCCCACCAGTTGTTTTTGGTAATATATCCTCACTATTGCTAGTGGAGTCCTCTTGTTTGCTATTTCCTGTGGTATTTCTAGTTTGCAATATTGGTTTTATCTTATCTTTGACTACACTTGTTTTCCCACTACGGCTCCTGTCCCCTATGAGGTCATTTATATGTATTCCTTCCTGCGTATAATTCCCGACTACCTGGACAAAATCTCCAGCTTCACATTACTGTCTCCCAGGACAGCAACATTCCAGCTTCACCATCTTACTGTCTCCCCAAGACAGTCACCTCCAGCTTCACCATTACTGTCTCCCAGGACAGCACCTCCAGCTTACCATTACTGTCTCCCAGGACAGCACCTCCAGCTTCACCATTACTGTCTCCCAGGACAGCACCTCCAGCTTCACCATTACTGTCTCCCAGGACAGCACCTCCAGCTTCACCATTACTATCTCCCAGGACAGCACTATCAGCCCCACATTTACTGACTACCAGGACTTCACCTCCAGCCTTACAGTTTCTGACTACATGGCCAGTATCAAGGGCAGTGCCATTCAGCCCAGACTTTTTATGTTCCCATCTGTTGTAGAAAGCTTCCAGGTTGTCTATGAAAGCAGCTTTGATGTTATCCTCTTTTAATACCCTTGTGATTTTAGTCCACAGATTTTCCTCATTTGAGCATACCCAAAAACACTTCCCTGTTTTAATACTGCTTGTAGCTAGTTCTTGGATATCTGCACAAGGGGCGTGACACCAATTTCCACAAAAATGACAATTTATCCATGTGAAAGCCTGTTTTTTTGATTGACTGCAGACTATACAGAGCTTCATAATGATTTGAATGGTTGATTTACTGTAATTCTACTAGCAACCTCTTGAATACTCTATTAATAACCTCCTTAAATGAAGCTCTAGCTATTTGTATTTCTATTTCTAACTGTACTTGTATATTGGACAGCTTACCGTGTACGTTCCTGATTTATATTTATTGTTTGTGTTTGATAAGGGCGCCTACAACCCCATCCGTTTACAGTATGCTTTATTGTCCAACGAATCCGTTTGAAACCAGTCAAGGGTTCGGACCAGTCGATCTGATCTGATCAGTGGGTCACTTATTTAAAACATACTAGTCGGTGATTTGGGCTAACACATGAAGGATCTACTTGAAATTATCTACCCGAGTAATATGTGATTTGATTGATACAAAAGTATAACTTGCGTGTTGAAGAGCCGGTGATTTCTGGCAGCTCCTACAGTGACGAACGGTCGAGCCTCAACCCTTGTTTATCAATCGCTGTATCTAGCTTTTCTAGTTTTTTTTTCGTCTCCACCACAATAAATGCTATATTATCACTATAGTTGACTGGTGGAAATTTTGGAGGAAGGACGCTTTTTCTGTAGTAATAACTGCTTCTCGTTTTGTATATTGCGACCGCTGGTAACTACAGGTTATATGAAATTCACAGTAACGTCTGGTATTTCAAGAAAAAAGAAACTAATGAAAGTCACTCCACTCCACTAAGTACCATTATAATACTGGTTAGTTGCTACTACAACACTATTCTGCTATTCACTGGTATCACTAGATTATATGCGAGTACACTAGCAGGCCAGGAAGATTATTAAAACAGCTGACCACTGTGGTAAGTTTCTGGCGACTTCTGGCACCTGCCTCTATAGGCTTATCACTTTATTTACAAATTCACCTGTTTTCAAATGACACTTTAGCCTTTATCATCTATATACTAGGGAGCCACTGTAGTATACACTATACACTATGTATACACAATGTTATCAGGGAGACTTTCTTTCCTCTGACAAAGAAAAGTTCTATTATTATTATTTTGCACACGGAACACAGGCCATATTCTGACAAAGACCCATATCAGGAGACACTAGGTGTTCTGTTTTCTGATGAACAAAACATTATCATCACCATATTTAGGGGAGAAAAAGAGGTGAAAAGAAAATTTACACTTAGACACATAGTCTTGGTTACTAAGACCACCCTGGTGATCAAGCTAGGCTCAACACTTACCCACAATACTTAGAACAAGAACATTTAAAAGCTTTATATACATATGTGTACTGAGCAAACTTGCCAATCTATGATACCTACATCATTTCTCACCTTTTTATACCATATAATAATAATAAATACATAATATGCCACTAACCTTGATATCATTAGCAGAAGAGTCAAGATCATACAACCTGAAATTAAAAGACTATGAAATTTCTAAGTTCTATTATACCTGGAGAGGGTTTCGGGGATCAACGCCCCTGCGGCCTGGTCTGTGACCAGGCCTCATGGTGGATCAGGGCCTGATCAACCAGGCTGTTACTGTTGGCTGCACACAACCCGACGCACGAACCACAGCCCAGCTGGTCAGGTACTGACTTTAGGTGCCTGTCCAGTGCCTGCTTGAAGACAGCCAGGGGTCTATTGGTAATCCCTCTAATGTATGCTGGGAGGCAGCTGAACAGTCTTGGGCCCCTGACACTTACTGTGTTGTCTCTCATCATGCTAGTGACACCCCTGCTTTTCATTGGGGGGATGTTGCATCATCTACCAAGTCTTCTGCTTTCATAGAGAGTGATTTTCGTGTGCAAGTTTGGTACTAATCCCTCTAGGATTTTCCAAGTGTATATAATCATGTATCTCTCCCACCTGCATTCTAGGGAGTACAGGTTTAGGAACTTCAAGCGTTCCCAGTAACTGAGGTGTTTTATCGCAGTTATGTGTGCCGTGAAGGTTCTCTGTACATTTTCTAGGTCAGCAATTTCACCTGCCTTGAAAGGTGCTGTTAGTGTGCAGCAATATTACAGCCTAGATAGAACAAGCGACCTGAACAGTGTCATCAAGAGCTTGTATATGTCCTAAATTACCATTTTTACTGAATACAGTCAGATATTAGTTTCCATATGATGCCTTGTAAATGCCTTTTTCAACTCGCTTCAGATTTTCAACACCAATATTAAGGCACACAAAAACTTGCTCTCCCTTGAATCCTTGATTCAAGTTGTCCCTCACCAGCAGGTAGGTACCTGGCCCCTTCTTGAAGTACTGTCCAAGTGTTAAGATTAGAGGTGTATGTGTGTGATATGTAGCCCCGTGTGCTGGAGTTATATTCCCAACAACTACTGCATCTTCATTTTCATAGTTTTTTGTGATAATGTGAAGTTTTAGTTTATACATATTAATTTGGTGCGTTGGGTAAGCATATTTCTTGGCCTCACCTAGTAAAAAATTATATAGATCAATGACAACTTCTATAATAAAAAAGTTATCATGTTTATAACTTATTGACAAAATACTGAAGCTTTAAATTAATAGGATATTGTAAATGAATGTTATGAGTATGAAGTTAGTTAAGTTTAGGATCTATAAAATACTCGAGGGTTAATAAAGATGGAATTAACCAATCAATTACGGCACGTGAATATGCATAGTGTGCAGCATACAAACTGAACGACAAATATTTTTTATCAATATATACATGACACAGAGAAGTATTTAAACGTGAAGAAATCATTTAGAAAAGCAAATTTGCTGACTCCCCTCTCTCTCAGTAAATTCTGATTTTTTTTTTTACACCGAAGCAATAATAGGGAATAATTATTACAAGCAATATTTGTAAATATTTGCCCTTGAGGTGTATGAGAAAATTCCGAGAAATCGTTGAGCGAAACAGACCCGTCATCTGTGTCTTGAGAGTTGGCAGACAACGTGAAGACGGTCACGACCAGACAGCACGAAATCACCACCACGAACAGACGCATCTGAAAGTAGAAACTGTGATAAACTCCATCTGTTCATCATTGTAAATTTTATTCAGATTATTTACCCGGAGTTAGTAACCTAGGATAACCTAACAGAGCCACTGTCAAGAGACTTGATTTAGTTTCACTGGGGGTCTTTTAATCCCTTTCCCCCACTCCTCAGGGTGCGACCCACAACAGTTGGCTAACACCCAGGAACCTACTTACTGATAGGTGAACAGGGACATGACTACTTCGTGACCTAGTCGGTTGGGAAAGTCAGATTTTGCGTGAAGTTTTAGCTATCATTAACTTAGTTTTTTGATAAGTATTAATATTAAATATGTCTGTGCTTTATTCTGCAGGAAACGAAAGAAATCTCCCAACAAAGGTCAATTGACGGGCATACCGCCTAGTGATTCAACAACCACTGATGTACCTGTGTTGGGTATCAGTGATAAATTACTAGTTGGCTCACATAAATACGTTTTCCACAAGGCGTAAAACTAGGTTAGATAAACATTCACATTACATATATAAGTTAATTTAAACTAAAAAGTAACCGTGTGAATGTTATTACAAGATGTATATAGTGGGCAGTCAGACCACCAAAACAGCAGCAGGGCAGGTAGACACGAACAATTCCTGTTCATCTGCACAAGCTTGAAGCTATGAAATCAACGACCACATCCAGAGGAGGTATTTATGTCATAGGCTGAAGACACCCAAAAGGCACTGTGAAATCTGAGACATGCAACACCGAATATCAATAGTTGGAGACATTTCGCTGACTAGTGGCTTTATCAGTTCAATACCAGATACCTGGTATTGAATTGATAAAACCACTGGTTGATTAAGCGTCTTCAAATAATGATAACTAGGTGATGCACGTGCCTTGAACCTGCCTACCATGGGCCAGTAGGCCTAATGTAGTGTTCCTTCACTGTTCTTATGGGAGTCGAAAACTTCTTGACATGAAATTTATATTTAAAGTTCCTTAATAAGGAAGATTTTATATAGGTTCAATATACAAGTTTGGATTTCTACAACTGCCTTATTAACCTAAGAGTATATAAACCTAAGATAACTCAGTAAAACACTGACTTATTTACGTCGGGGTCCTTGTGTAAAATATATATTGGCTACACGAATATGTTACCTAGAGGTTACCTGGAGGTTATTCCGGGGATCAACGCCCCCGCGACCCGGTCCACGACCGGTTATAATTATTAACAATAAAAGGCTATTTAGAATTTACATATCAGTTACATGACTATATTAGTTACACAAGTAATTTGAAAAAAAAAACTAATAAAATGAGACTTATTTCCTTTTGCCCTTCAAAGGAGGTTCCTTGATGCTGGAGAGAGGCTCTTGATCTAGGGTATTGTACTGGATCTGTGCCTTCTGAATGCCTTCCATCCTCCCTCCCCCAATAGGAGCTGTATAATCCCTACGGATTTAGCGCTCCCTCATAATTTCATTTTGCTTCCCCTGTTTGAGCTTACTGAGGCACCTGGGCAGGCAGACAACCCAAGACTTTATCATCCACGTCGAGGCTACATCCTGAGAAAAACTATACGATCTGAATTCTAATAGTCACTGTCTAAGAGTCTAGACAGAGCCTAGACAGTTGAAATTAGAATGGGTTACTAAAGGCTTTCTCCCCGACCTGCACTCCAGTCGCACCACCGGCTGGTGGAGTTACATCTAAATCCAATATAAGATAGTAATATCTGAAAGTGACTAACCTTTATCTTGGGTGTTACTAATTGTCATATGTTTGTGATTACTGTTATAACTTTACGAGTATAATATCAACACCAAACAATCGGTCAAATAAATATTTTTCTTAAAAACCTCAATATATATATTTGGCTCCATCTTACTGTCTTTCATAAGCACAAAACGACTATATAGGAACGACTTACTGTAGTTAAAAAAATGATAAATTTTGTACTACTTAGGAGAATAGACATAAATAGCAATATTACGATGACAAGCAATTAATACTACTTGTACAAACAGTTACTATTACTTGTACAAATAAGAAACTGACAAACGGAGAATAATACGAACATTATAATAGCATAAAATATTATAACTACTTAGTAACTCTGAAGAATTAGAGAAGTTTCTCCAGCATCTGGTAGGCTAATTGACATACTACTTACCATTTAGTGCTCTCACTAGTTCAGTTATATACATTTGTTCAATACACACACACAACACACACACACACACACACACACACACACACACACACACACACACACACACACACACACACATATATATATATATATATATATATATATATATATATATATATATTATATATATATATATATATATATATATATATATATATGTGTGTGTGTGTGTGTGTGTGTGTGTGTCTTACCTAACAACCTGTCGGTATTTTATACCATTTTAATGTTCAGAGAGTGGAGATTTAAGGCTTTAAGTCTATCTTCATACGGGAGGTTCCTTACACAGTAAATCATTTTAGTCATTCTTCTTTGTATGTTCTCTAATGAGTCTATGTCCATCCTGTAGTAAGGGGACCAAAACTGAGCAGCATAATCTAAATGAGGCCTCACTAGTGATGTATAGAGCTGTAAAATAACTTTTGGACTTCTGTTACTTATACTTCTTGAGATAAATCCAAGTAATCTGTTGGCCTTGTTGCGCACACTAAGGCACTGCTGTCTTGGCTTTAGATTTCTGCTTACCATGACTCCCAAGTCTTTTTCACATTCTGTATGACCAAGCTCTACTTCACCTAGATTATAACTTCGAGGGTTATTTTCATTACCAAGGGCAAGTACCTTACACTTATCCACATTAAACTTCATCTGCCATTTTTCAGACCAAGACATTAATTTGTTCAAATCGTCCTGGAGTTCATTGATATCCTCCTCAGAGTGAATTATACGGCCTATCTTTGTATCATCAGCAAACTTACTCATGTCACTAGTAATCCCTTCATCAAGGTCATTAATGTAAATTATGAACAGGAGAGGGCCTAAAACTGATCCTTGTGGAACGCCACTAGGGACTAATCCCCATTCAGATTTCACTCCATTAATGGTAACTCTGCTTTCTATTGGTAAGCCATGCCTCAATCCATGCTAGAACTTTACCTCCTATACCATGAGCTGCCACTTTTCTTAAGAGTCTCTTGTGAGGTACTCTGTCGAAGGCTTTACTAAAATCCAAATAAACAATATCATATTCCTTATCACTGTCAACTGCCTCAAATGTTCTATTGAAGAACGTCAGTAAGTTTGTCAGGCAGGAACGACCTCTCGTGAATCCATGCTGAGATTCATTTATCAAGTTATGCTCTTCAAGGTGACTTCTGATAATGTCAGCTATAATTGATTCAAATAACTTGCCCACTATAGATGTCAGGCTTATTGGACGGTAATTTGAAGGAGTGGACTTCTCCCCTGATTTGAATATAGGAACCACATTAGCCATCTTCCACAACTCTGGCACAACACTGGTAAGGATGGACGCATTGAATACACTCGTTAATGGCTGACTAAGCTCCATCTTGCATTCCTTAAGTACCCTTGAAAACAACTCATCGGGTCCCGGGGACTTATTTTGTTTCAGTTTGTCTATCTGTTTAATAACCATGTCCCTCGTGACAGTAATATCATGTATCTCTCCCGCCTGCGTTCCAGGGAATACAGGTTTAGGAACCTCAAGCGCTCCCAGTAATTGAGGTGTTTTATCTCCGTTATGCGCGCCGTGAAGGTTCTCTGTACATTTTCTAGGTCAGCAATTTCACCTGCCTTGAAAGGTGCTGTTAGTGTGCAGCAATATTCCAGCCTAGATAGAACAAGTGACCTGAAGAGTGTCATCATGGGCTTGGCCTCCCTAGTTTTGAAGGTTCTCATTATCCATCCTGTCATTTTTCTAGCAGATGCGATTGATGATAAATTAGACACATGTGCAACTCTTGGGTATCTTTATTGAGGAAACGTTTCGCCACACAGTGGCTTCATCAGTCCATACGTAGGAGAAACTTGAAGAACAGGAGGAGCATGAGGTAATCAGTCCCTCAACCTTGAGTCGATGTGTTCAGTCCATCAATCTTGAATAGAATAGATTCTATTCAAGATTGATGGACTGAACACATCGACTCAAGGTTGAGGGACTGATTACCTCATTCTCCTCCTGTTCTTCAAGTTTCTCCTACGTATGGACTGATGAAGCCACTGTGTGGCGAAACGTTTCCTCAATAAAGATACCCAAGAGTTGCACATGTGTCTAATTTATCAACATGTCGGTTCTCTGAACCATTCATCTACAAAGATGCGATTGATACAATGTTATGGTCCTTGAAGGTGAGATCCTCCGACATGATCACTCCCAGGTCTTTGACGTTGGTGTTTCGCTCTATTTTGTGGCCAGAATTTGTTTTGTACTCTGATGAAGATTTAATTTCCTCGTGTTTACCATATCTGAGTAATTGAAATTTCTCATCATTGAACTTCATATTGTTTTCTGCAGCCCACTGAAGGATTTGGTTGATGTCCGCCTGGAGCCTTGCAGTGTCTGCAATGGAAGACACTGTCATGCAGATTCGGGTGTCATCTGCAAAGGAAGACACGGTGCTGTGGCTGACATCCTTGTCTATGTCGGATATGAGGATGAGGAACAAGATGGGAGCGAGTACTGTGCCTTGTGGAACAGAGCTTTTCGCCGTAGCTGCCTCGGACTTTACTCTGTTGACGACTACTCTCTGTGTTTACCTGGAGTTTACCTGGAGAGAGTTCCGGGGGTCAACGCCCCCGCGGCCCGGTCTGTGACCAGGCCTCCTGGTGGATCAGAGCCTGATCAACCAGGCTGTTGCTGCTGGCTGCACGCAAACCAACGTACGAGCCACAGCCCGGCTGATCAGGAACTGACTTTAGGTGCTTGTCCAGTGCCAGCTTGAAGACTGCCAGGGGTCTGTTGGTAATCCCCCTTGTGTGTGCTGGGAGGCAGTTGAACAGTCTCGGGCC